ACACCATGCTCCTATTGATGCAGGCCATCTCATCCAGCTTCTTCTGGATTTCAGTAAGCCCTTTGACAAGGTCCCCCATTACCTTCTGGCAAACAAACTAGTCCAATGTGGGCTAGGCAAAATTACGGTTAGGTGGATTTGTAATTGGTTAAATGAACGAACCCAGAGGGTGATTCTCCCCAATGCTTCCTCTTCATCCTGGAAAGAAGTGACGAGCGGAGTGCCATCAGCAGGGTTCCATCCTGGGCCCGGTCCTGTTCAACATCTTTATTAATGACTTAGATGAAGGGCTAGAAGGCATGATCATCAAGTTTGCAGATGACACCAAATTGGGAGGGATAGCCAATACTCCAGAAGACAGGAGCAGGATTCAAAACGATCTTAACAGATTAGAGAGATGATTGGCCAAAACTAACAAAGTGAAGTTCAACAGGGACAAATGCAAGATACTCCACTTAGGCAGAAAAAAAATGAAATGCAAAGATAGATGCATATGAAAAGATCTTGGGGTCCTTGTGGACAACAAGTTAAACATGAGCCAACAATGTGATGTGGCGGCAAAAAAAAAGCCAATGGGATTTTGGCCTGCATCAATAGGAGCATAGTGTCTATATCCGGGTAAGTCATTTAAATTGAAAAGAGATCTTGACAAGCTGGAATGTGTCCAGAGGAGGGTGATTAAAATGATCAAGGGTCTGGAGAACAATCCCTATGAGGAGCGGCTTAAAGAGCTGAGAGGAGATATGATAACCATGTATAAATACGTGAGAGGAAGTCATAGGAAGGAGGGAGCAAGCTTGTTTTCTGCTTCCCTGGAGACTAGGATGCAGAACAATGGCTTCAGATTACAAGAAAGGAGATTCCATATGAACATTAGGAAGAACTTCCTGACTGCGAGAGCCGTTCAGAAATGGAACTCTCTGCCCTAGAGTGTGGTGGAGGCTCCTTCTTTGGAAGCTTTTAAACAGAGGCTGTATGGCCATCTGTCGGGGGTGCTTTGAATGCAATTTTCCTGCTTCTTGGCAGGGGGTTGAATAGGATGGCCCAAGAGATCTCTTCAAACTCTATAATAATATATAATAATAATAAAACTTTATTTATACCTCGCCATCATCTCCCCAAGGGACTTGGAGCGGCTTACATGAGGCCAAGCCCGACAACACATCAAAACAGAAAAGCAATAACAAACAATACAAAGCAATACAAAATAATATAAATCACATACAACAAGATTTAAAAGCTTATGGCCAGGCCAGATGTAATGATTAAAAATTTAAAAAATAACACTGGATATGACAAGGATTCTATGATTCTATGATTCTAACATCTTCCAATTTCCATATTGGGAAGGGTTTAGGACCAGAGTCTCAGACCCCTGGCTGTCCTGAGTAAGGGTCTCCTCCTTACTTCCCAAACCCCTTTCTTCTTCCTCCTCCTCCTCCTCCTCCTCCTCCTCCTCCTCTTCTTCTTCTTCTTGGGAGTGAGTGGCCCTTTGTGGGACAGGGTGGCCAGCCAATCACTCCGCCCCCAACCCCCAGGGACTATAATCTGACAAGTTTTAGCATCCTAAGGTAAAGATTTTCCCCTGACATTAAGTCCAGTCGTGTCCAACTCTGGAGGGTGGTGCTCATCTCCATTTCTAAGCCGAGGAGCCGGTGTTGTCCGTAGACACCTCCAAGGTCATGTGGCCAGCATGACTGCATGGAGCGCCATTACCTTCCTACCTGAGCGGTACCTATTGATCTACTCACATTTGCATGTTTTCAAAACTGCTAGGTTGTCAGAAGCTGGACCTAACAGCAGGAGCTCACCCCACTCCCCAGATGCGAATCACCTACCTTTTGATCAGCAGGTTCAGCAGCTCAGTAGTTCAACCCACTGCACCACTGGAGGCTCCTTTATCAGCCTAGTAACTTCATATTGGGAAGGATTTGGGACGAGAGCCTCAGACCCCTGACTGTCCTGAGGGCCTCTTTTCCTATCCCCCCCCAATCCTTTTGTGGGGGACTGATTGGATCTTTGTGGGGCGGGTGAGCGTCCACCTGCCAACCAAAGGCCACCAGCTCCTTTTCCGTTGTTTGGTCTGCTGTTAGACTAGACTAGAAAAGGGAGGGGTTGTCTCTGTCATTGCTAAGAAAATCCAACAAATGCTATGTTCAGCAAAGGGCAAGAGGGATCCTCTCACCTCTGCAGGAGTCTACCGTGTACCATGCAGCTGTGGACAAGTCTACATAAGGACCACCAAATGCAGCAGCATTGTCCAAACACGAATCAAGGAACAAGAAAGGCACTGCAGACTAATTCAACCAGAGAAGTCAGCCATAGCAGACCTCTTGATGAACCAACCTGGGCACAGCATATTATTTGAGAACACAGAAACGTTGGACCACTCTCACAACCACCATGTCAGGCTACACAGAGAAGCTATTGAAATCCACAAGCATGTGGACAATTTCAACAGAAAGGAAGAAACCATGAAAATGAACAAAATCTGGCTACCAGTATTAAAAAACTCTAAAATTATAACAGTAAATAAAGAATAAAAGTCAAACACAGGGAAACTCCAGACAAGAAACAATCAGGAACACCTATTCGCCTCTCAACTAAGGATTTTCCCAGGCAGCAACAAGCCTCAACTAAAAACTATCAGGGCATCAAATGCTAATGAAGGTGTCTAATAGAAACATTCACACCTAGCTCCAACAGACAAGAGTTCTTTCTCCCACCCTGGACTTTCCACAGATATGTAAACCCTATTTTCCTGGTTTCCAATAAACCTCACAACCTCTGAGGATGCTTGCCATAGATGCAGGCGAAACGTCAGGAAAGAATGCTTCTAGAACATGGCCATACAGCCTGAAAAACCTACAACAACCCAGCAAAGACACTGCCTCGACATGGGGAGCCTTCCCATTGAGTATATGAATTCCTTTGCTGAGTCTTGCCCTTTCTTGACAGCTTTGCTAGCTGTTTGGGGTAACACCTGTTTTTAATAACTATCAAGAAAAAATTGACACCGTGAGATTTTAAAAAATAATTTATGGCAACATATAATGGAAGGTAGGGCGGCCTATATATAAAGCTATTATTATAATTTATTGAATATGTTGGCATCCTTGAGAATGGTTTATGTAATGGAGGCATCCAGGTGTGGCTGATCCTGAGTCTGCACTGATGCTTTGCCATTCTGCTTCATCAGGTTGATACTTGGGATTGAAACTCAGCAGTAATGGATCATAACCTCTCATTCTTGTGTATCACAGAAGGCTTTTTATGCAAAACCACAACCAATATTCCTCTTCCTGGTCAATTATCCCTTGGATAATTTTTTTTTCCTGTTTCAGGTCCTTGATGAAACCCTTGATGTGAAAGAAATTATCTTCAATCCTGAGCGCATTGGTGGGCTGGTGGGAGAACCGGCATGTTTATGGCTTGCTATTTGAACCCATACATCCTTGCCTTGATACTGGGCTATTCCCACTAATTGCAAAGACACTGGGAATGTTGCAGAGACCAATACAGGCTAAGATGGGCCATAAAGAAGGCAATGTGGTACATGTGTCTATGGAACTGACTTTTGTCTTCTAAGACATCCTGAGTTTCAATCTTGGGGGAAAGATGGATGAAAGAAAAGAGTGGAATACAATAAAATAAGCTGGTTAAATTGTAATGACAGAGACCAGGCTGATATCGTAATTGGGTGCATCCCACGTTTGTTGCAGCAGTTGTCCAAAGAAAAGCACCCTCAATGCTTGGTTACTGGGTGTGTGTGTGTGTGTGTGTGTGTGCTTGCCATAGATGCAGGCGAAACGTCAGGAGAAATGCCTCTAGAACATGGCCTTATAGCCCCCAAAAAACCACAAGAACCTAGTGATTCCAGCCATGAAAGCCTTCGACAAAAATGAAGTATTTTGGCCACATCATGAGAAGACAGGAAAACTTAGCGAAAACAATGATGCTGGGGAAAATGGAAGGAAAAAGGAAGAGGGGCCGACCAAGGGCAAGATGGATGGATGGTATCCTTGAAGTGACTGGCTTGACTCTGAAGGAGCTGGTGGAGGTGACGGCCGACTGGTGTGGGCTGGTCCATGAGGTCACAAAGATTCGGAAGCGACTGAATGAATAAGCAACAACTGAAAAGGCAGGCAAAGAGTCAAGTATCACAAAATACCTGGGAAGGCTTCCCAACTTTCGCATCAAATTTCTTCCTTTGTAAAAAGGGAAGGGTGAATTGCTTTCTGAAAGAGCAGGTGACTGCAAATAGGAGGCATTTGGAAACTTTCCACAAATCCGTCTGCCATGCACATGCCTTTGTCTCTTTCCCAGTGACGGCAAAATGCTGGTACAAAATCAAAAAAGAGAAGCAGTGTTGTTTTGCCCTATGACCTCTCTTTTCTCTATTTTAGGTCCACATTCATGCAAAACCAGCTGAAAACATTTGGATCAAACCTCCTGTTTATCTGCTTTCTTTATTCGTTGTGTGTTAGGCAGCATGTTGTGTATATATATATATATATATATATATATATATATATATATATACACACACACGTGTTTTGCTGAATCTTAATTTTTTTATATTGTCATTTTTTTATCTGAACTTTAGCCAGAGACACAGAGAAAGCAACAGTGAAAGGCAGGTTTCCATCACTTCCTACTTTTTTTCACTGCATATGTCATTGAAATTGTTATTTTGGAGTAAATATCAAACTGGGCCCATTCTTAGTTTGTTTATTTATTTATTGTTTTAATACTTGTATGTATTTAATGATATTTTAATATTTTCCTTTTGTATATTTTACAAGTGTGAGCCAATTTGGGTCTCAATATTGAGGAAAAAAGTGGGGTGAAAATAAATATAATTATTTTTTTATTTATTTACTGTAGTTTTACCCCGCTCTATCTCAACCCTGAAGGAGATTCATAGCAGCTATTTATCATTTGTCTCTTCCCATTGTTTAATCAAAACACTATATTAAACTAAGGGAAGGAAAATATCTTCATTCTTCATCAGAGCCATTCAAAAGAGCAGTGTAGGTCTTTGTGTCTGCTTGGTTGAACTTCTGAATTTCCATTCCATCTCCTCCACAGTTTCCTTTCAGTATCCAAAGAACCCTACAGAAACCAAGACAGGGTATTAGATGGTCAAATAGAGACTCAACGGTTGATGGGTACATTAATACCTTCTGCCATCTACTCTTCATCCCAGGTGACTGTTATTGGAATAGTTACTATGGCCAGTAGTATCTCATGCACTGCTGCTCTGACACTTCCATGGATACAATTCAAGATACTGCTCCAAAAAGTCCTAAATCCTCCTTCACTCAACTAGTGTCATTCAAGTGCATGGCACCAAACCCCACATCATCCCTGGCCAACATCCTTTTCTAAGCTGTGCCACCTCATTTGCCACCCAGTTCTCTATGCATGTGGTTGCTTTCCAAGGGTGAAAGGACAGGCCCTTATCCCAAAGGTCTTACAATCTGGAATGGTCTTCCAAAAGGTCAAACCACATCAACAGGAGAAGGAAATCGCATCAGGGCAAATGCAGGATTCATCAAGAGGACCATTTCGGCTTCTTTGTATTGGGCTCAACCATGGTCAAGAAGAGATGGTGTCTTCCTGTTAGGCAGCTCTCTCTTTCTAGAATGCAAATCTGAGTGCCCTGGAAGAGCTCTTTCCACGAGCCCTGACTTTTGGGACTGAGATACCTTGAAAATGCTCCATTACATACCAATAGACAATGCCATAGGTAAAGGTGAGGAAGAGAACGGCACTCCCATAATGCCAAGAGTAGCACAGGGCCATAAACATGTAGGTTTCTGGGTCATTGTGGTCCCAACTGGAGGTTCCCCACAACAGGAAAGCAATCTGGATGAATGAACAGAAAGAGAGAATGAGGAGAATCATCTTACTTTGTGCCTATTAAAACTGCCCCATCACGTCTCAATGGCTCAAGTGATGATCTACTTGTTGTCACTTGTCTTGAGAAGAACCTGGGCATGTTGGAGGTGTTTTTTGTGGTGTGACTTAATGTCAATCATTATACTTATCCTCATCTTTATTTATTGTTCCCCTTTCCCTCAAAATGGTCAATAGTGAGGTGAATCCTGCATGGCAGGGAGTTAAGACTTGTGGTCTCTCCCAACTATGATTCTATGAATCTGCTTTGGGGTTTAGTCTGACAATTGAAAGAGCTTTTCAAGCTGCTGAATGATATCTATAGAATGGCTTCAGCACCTTAGATAGCTCCTTTAAACTTTAGACTACATCACTGCTATCATGGGAGACACCAATCACCAGTCAGATGTTTGAGCTTGTATTGACTTCATCCAATGCCTGGTTAGATATAATGCCTGGAAAGCTCGCAGTGTTATCTTCCATTCTTTAGAATGACTCCTACAAGAATCTCTGAAGACCAATATATTCCCAATGCTCCTTAACAGTGTGACCAAGTGACACACCCTGAAATACTTGGATCTGTGATGGACTACTTGGATTCCAAAACAAATCAGACACAACTACAGTTCCCAAACTTTGTCCCAAGAAGCACCTCTGATAAGAACTGACCTGCCAAAGCCAAGTTCCCTGGGTTATGAACATGGAAGTCCTAAACAGCTCCAGGATTGGGTTGTTTCTGTGCCACACCTCAAACAAACTGCAAACAGCCCCGGTCCATATGGGAATTAACAAGATGTAGTGGATGTATTGATCCAGAGCAGACATCCGGCTTGAATGGGTATAGAAGAGCAGACCTAGTAAAGACACACAAAAGTACAACTCGTTAATTGTTGAGTGGTTAAAAGTCTACTGGGTTCTTTGTCATTCCATTGGATGGAAAGTGAAATTACTAATGCATTAGCCAACTTCTTAAGCAAGTTGCAACTAATAGTAGTCTGACCAAGGTCTTCTCAGCCTAAGATCAAGTATAGTGCAGCAAAGCAAGTACTCAGCATGCTGAAAAGTCCCAGGTCTACAAGAAAGTCTATGAAACATCCCATTCTGAGAGTTGTCTCAGTCAATCCAGCAGAAAAAATTGGGCGAGGTGAACAAACCATCTAACTCCATATAAGTCAACTTCTTTTGGCACAATGTCTCAAATCACATACATAGCAATATACAACATGGCTTCTTCCAATTTAATCCAATTAAAGCCTCTCTTAAGGCATACTCCGTGGCTATACGGGTGGCCAGGAAATCATTCAC